GAAATGAAAAATTTGCTGTATTGAGATTGAGAATGAATAAGGATGTAGGTGAAGATAAGGGCAGTCATTAGAATTGAATGAATAATTAATTTCCGTATGATCAAGAAAATACTGCTAGCAGCAAAAAAAATCTTCCTGGTTTTTTTTATATCTCTGTTATCTTCTTTTCTAATGATGACTTCCGAGTATGCCTAAAAATAAATTGCTATTTTCTGTTATGTATGATAGATTATATTCGTCAAAAATCAAAGATTTAGTAAAAGTTACTCACAATTTGAGATTTATCACGACCCTCAATCTAAACTAATCAATCTTTTGTGAGATACAAAATGACTCGTATGTTAATTTTATTACAATATTAAACATAGATATTCCTTAAAGGAAAAAATACCCAAAAACTCATGCTATATGAGTATGAGATAAATATTACGAGTGATTTCTCCTGTGAATTTCAAACAATTCATTACACTGAGATAAAAAATAAAACATACAATCGAAAACTCTTTTAATTACGATCAATATATTCTTTATCATGAATATTTTTGTGAAATATGATCTAAAAACATAGCAGTAAAAACTTGAGTCCACGCACCTGTTGTTGATATACGATGACAAATCGTATATTAATTGAGTTTTCTTCTAATATATCAACTATTTCCTTATTACATATCTCCAGAGGATAGTGAAGAAGTGTTTATTGAAATAGATCGAATAAAATAATTTTTCCATGAATATCAACAGTAGCTACATCCAATTTCGCATTATAATCCGAGTGATAATTACGCTAATAGCTTCTTATCAGTTTTTTTGTACTACGTATTAGTTTTTTCTTTAATATGTAATTGGTTCTTAAAGTCATCTGACATAAACTTTATTGATCGATTTTTTATTTATTTTTTTTTGTTTCTAGACATTGAAACATTAGGTACAAACGACGATTCTTCACTTCATGATGTTCATCTTGTTGGAAATGCATCAACATCACCGTCAATGTCTTCAAGTTGGGGATCTGTTCAATATGAAGAATTAAAAGCTGAAAATGAATTATTCAAACAAGAATTACAAGCACGTGAATTAACCATACATACATTACGTAGTGAACTTCAAGAAGCTGAATTACTTGTTCAACATGCTGATGAACAATTACATGAGCAAACAAATCAATTAAATGAACAATTAAAAGATGAACATGCACGTTTAACATTAACTGAACAAGATTATCGTAAATTAAAACAAGAATTAACTTATATGCATGAAGAATCTCATAAACAAAAACAAATACATATGACACAATTAAATGAACGTGAACGTGAATTAGAACGTCTTCGTTTACAATTAACAGCTAAAACAATAAGTCATGTTAATGATGATGAATTAGAAAAACGTTTACAAACATTAACTGAATCTTTAATACATAAACAAACAATTATTGAAACATTACAAACAGATAAAAGTTCTTTAACTATGCAATTAGAACGTTTAGAAAAACGTTTAGATGATTATGAAAAAATTTCTTCATTAACAACAAATAATTCATTACAACAAACATCAAAACGTCTTCAAACAGCAACATCATCATCAACAATATCAATTGATATGGATAATAATGGAATATATGATAATGAACATGACGATACACTTCGTTCTCGTATACCTTTATTACGTGAAACACCATATGATCCTGATATTGCTAAAAAAGTTAAACGAGCTGCTAATGAACTTGATAGACTCGGTATTCGTTTAGGTGTTTTTCTAAAACGTTATCCAGCTGTACGTCTTGGCGTTATTTTTTATGCTATACTTCTTCATTTATGGACATTAATTGTTCTTTTTACATATACGCCAGAAGTTCATGGCAATTTAAATCCACTTGATATGTCAAAAAAACCCTAAGACAGTGATATTATATCCATATTTACTTACTTTCTTTCTTTCATTTTTTTTATATATGTAAATAATTTTTTCTTTTTTTTTTTTTTTTGGGAAAATAATATACGGATTTAGCATTCTTCAGAACAAACTAATTTGCACTATCAATCATGGCAAAATTTGAAAAATTCTCAGTTATAAATTTGTTATGCTAAGATTCAAAACGCCTTCGAGTACAACTTATTTCATTGATCAAATGGCATGAAAACAGTTTTTGCTATGGGAAATAAACTTAGCTGTCTATGAATAAAAACAAATAAAGTATCACATATACTTTAACAATATACAATATTTTATTTACGAAATATTTTGAAGAATCTTAGATGAACCTAATCCATGCGTTTCCAGTTCGTTACTCTTCCGTTACCTTCATTATCGCATGATTCTATCGAATAAAACAATAGAATTTTCCAAGTATTTCGGTCGATCATAATAAAAAAAAACTAAATCTATTTAGAAAATAGAATTCAGGTTGATTCAACAAAATCTTTCTTTTCACATCCAAGACAACATTTGTACCAAACCCATGCTTTAGTTTCACATCTATTAGTTGCTTTAATATTAAGTTTAACTATGATGTCATATAGAGGTGTTTCAATGGTTGCATTTGAATTAGATAGAACAATATGTCGAGCACATTATCGAGAAAAATTGCAACAATTATATGCTACGAGCATATAGTTCTTCAAAGATATCTAGTTCAATAAATTACTTTTTCAAAAGTTATAGAAAATTTTATATGAAAATAACCAGCATAAAAACCAAAATCTTACAAATCTAAAATTATTCTGATCAAATATCAACACAATAGAAAATCATAAATTATCATCAAAGGCAACCGAATAGCTAAATATTATCTTAAAGTTTTAAAAAGTGTACTTTGTTCCCTTTCCATACAGATTTCTTCTCATGATAGTTGAGTGACAGAAAATTTCATTGGACTTTATATTTGCAAGTAAAAATTAGTATTTTATCACTCATTACTTTGTGAAGAGCAATCATATTAAAAAATATATATACAAAGTGTTTCAAAAATCGGCGTAAAAGTAAATTTGAATATCTTCACTATTTATCAAACTTAATCAATTCATTTTTTTTTCAAATGGTAGACGCCAGCGCGAAGTTTTTTTTCTGATTCGGAGAAGTTTCTCAAATATTGCTCAAAGTTATCACTTTCGACTGAAATACAAAAAGCAGTTGTTTCTCAACTTTTAAAATCTCGTTGTGTAGTGTTTGGTTTTTAACGCTTTAGTTTGTTGCATTATTGTAGCTTTTGCATTGGCCAGATGTTGATCCATTATTTTTGTGTATTTGTTTTGCTATTTTACTACAAAAAGAAGCCTAATAGTGCCAAGTCTGGTGACCATGTGGCTCATAAGATTGAGTCATTTCTTCCAGTTCATCAATCATTGTTCCGAAACATAAAGCAATTTCATGAGCTCCGTGATCATCAGACTTGGCACAATTAGACATCTTTTTATGGTGAACTATCGAAATAAATGCATAGAAATCATAGTACAAGATTTGGCCGATGCAAACGTCATAAAAATGCAAAAACCTGAAGCATTTAAAGACAAAGACTATGTAACGAGCTTTTGAAAATCGAGAAACAACTGATTTTTGTATTTCAGTCGAAAGCAGTACCTTTGAACAGTATTCGAGAAATTTCTCCAAATTAGAAATATACTTTCCAGTAGTATCTATCATTTGAAAAACAATTAATTGATTAAGTTTGATAGACAGTGGAGCTATTAAAATTTACTTTCCCATCGGACTTTTGGAGCACTGCTGATGCCTTCGAGTGTGTGTGTTAATCATAGAGATTTCAGATTCTTGTTAAAATGTAACGAAAAAATTGTCGCTACAAGTTAATAAAGTCTGCATTTTAAAATTTTTGCTAATAACTATGTTGAATAGTGCTAAAACAATCACAAACATTTCCAGGATTCACATCTATCTTGTATGAAAAATATTAATTATTTATTTGTCCACTTATTTTCGTTTTCTATTTTGTACCGAAACTTTTCATTCTTTTATTTTCTAGAAATAAAATAAGTACATAACTAACACTACATCGATACGTTAATACCAAGTCACAAAATGTAATGGATATGAAAAATTCGAAAATTGTCTGCCAGCTTTGGCTCGATGTCTGTTTTGACTAATGATTATACAATTTCGATAAGAATAG